GAAAACATTTTCCGGAAAATGTTTTCCTTCATACCAAACACACCCCAAGTCTTCGTAAAGCATTGTATTGGTTGAGAATAGGCGTCGTGGGTCTATCTATAAATGAACCGGATCTAGATGCCTCAGCGGGCCAACTGGGTTCATTATAAAGGCCCAATACTATTTTGTAGTAGTTGCTCATTTTCATTATAAAAGTTCTGTGAATTCTTTCTGCAAACACTGGCTATTATGTGTGCTCTTGACAGATGCTTGTATCATAAAAATTGCTATGTTTGTACGTTCCACCAGCACGTTTAAATTATGATGGAAAAATCACCTCATATACACATTTAAGAGTAAATATTACGAATTTTAAACCTATTTTTAAAAATTTCTTGATTATAACAGAATATTTACTGGTTATGACATATCAGTTAAAATTATTTTTATTTAAAAGTTAAATTATATTTATTTATAAATCATTAATATATTTATAGGTTTTTAATATTAATTAATAATAGGTAATTAATTTGTTTTTTACTTCCTTTTTTAAAAAAAAATGTCAGTTACCCAAATTTAGGGATTTACTCAATATCTTTTCCTTGTTTACCGTTACCCTCACCAATTGTACACCCCACCCCCACCCCCACACGTTTCTTCACTCACACACGCCTCAACCCACCACCCACTATCATTCTCTCTCCATTGTTTCTCATCTTCTCCAAAATCAAACCGCCAAAACCCACCAAAATCAAACCGATTAATCATGTCTAAGAAATCGATGGAAACTCCAAGAAAGAGCCCCAGATTTGATGAAACCTTAATCGATGATGCTCATGCTCCATCCTTTTAACATACTGTCTGAAACTCCCCCTCCGAAATCTGTTGAAATTCCTGCCAATGTTGGTCCATCTCGTTCGAAGAATCAAAAAGACAAAATTAATGAAGCAAACCAAAGTTCAAATCCGACAAATCGAAGGGGAAACAAGAGGAAGGGGAAAAAACATGTTGAAACCCCTCCAGAGTCTGATTCAGACTCAGATTCCGATTTTGTTGCTCAAAGAAAAAAGAAGAAAACAAAAAAATCAACAAATGTTGATGTTCTTGAAACATCAAAACCTTCTTCAAGAAGAAAAACAAAAAAAGATGAACATGAATTACCAAAATCCCAACATTTGTTATATCACATTATTATTATTGTTGTCTTCAAAATTTTTATTTTTCTGAAATTTATTATTAATGATACAACATTGACATGCATATTAACTATTAACATTGTTATCAAATTGTATGATATAATTTAAATACTCTGTAGTATATAGGTACTCATGGTATTTTTTGAATAATAAGAGTATGAAGTGTTTGTGAATAACATGTATATGAAGTGTATGTCAAAAAAATTGGTATGCAATGTGTGTGCAATGTCAAATATAATGTATGATTTTTTTTAACTACTATGCATTGTATAGGTGCCCCTGGAATTTTTTTGAATGATAAAAGTATGAACTGTGTGTGAATATCATGTGTATGGAGTGTGTATGAATATCATGTGTATGGAGTGTGTATGAATATCATGTGTATGGAGTGTGTATGAATATCATGTGTATGGAGTGTGTATGAATATCATGTGTATGGAGTGTGTATGAATATCATGTGTATGGAGTGTGTATGAATATCATGTGTATGGAGTGTGTATGAATATCATGTGTATGGAGTGTGTATGAATATCATGTGTATGGAGTGTGTATGAATATCATGTGTATGGAGTGTGTGTGAAATGTGAATATTATGTATACAATGTTCTTTATAAACATTGTGTATGAAATGTGTGTGGAATATGAACTAAGGGTTAAAGTGTGTGTGCAATGTCAAAATTATGTATGATTTTTTTCTAAATACTATGTATTGTATAGGTGCCACTGGAAATTTTTGAATGATAAAAGTATGAACTGTGTGTGAATATCATGTGTATGGAGTGTGTGTGAAATGTGAATATTATGTATACAATGTTCTTTATAAACATTGTGTATGAAATGTGTGTGGAATATGAACTAAGGGTTATTGTTGGAAAGAAATTTTTATATGCAGAGTGTGTGAAAATGTGAATATTATGTATATCATTTTCTTTATAAACATTGTGTATGAAATGTGTGTGAAATATGAACTAAGAGTTATTGTTGGAAAGAAATTTTTATATGCAGAGTGTGTGAATAATATGTGTATGCAGTGTGTGTGAAATGAGAATATAATTTATATGCAAACTTATGGTTATTGCTGGAAAGAAATTTGCGTACATGTGAACAATATATGTATGAAGTGTGTGTGAAATGTGAGTATAATTCATGTCATGTCTCTTAACATACTGTATATGAATTGTGTGTGATATTTGAACTATGGTATTGCTGCAATGAAAATTGAATTTTATAGGTGTGAAGTGTGTATGAAATGTGAGCTATTGAGTTCTGTATGCTTTTAGAATTATAACTGAATGAAAATTGAATTATATGGGGTGTGAAGTGTGTATGAAATGTAACATAATGTTATTTTATAGGAAAGGAAGAAACACACACACTGGTCTTCATGTACCAACATGAATGTGTTTGCTGATCTTTTGATTGTTCTTGGGCAAGAGAGATTTCAACAATTTCTCGAATAAACTCCTTTTGATATATTCTATGAGATGCACCATATAAAGATCCAATGTCAATTACTTAGGAATATGATGATTCTTGAAAAACAAAATGTCCGAGACGACATGTTTGTTATTAAAATAAACAGTACAGAATTACGATTCGAAATCAAGGAATTTTCAACAGCAATAAATTAGAAACGTCATCTCCATAAGTTTTTCTTTATCCTTGTAAACCTGATTCTCATCTATAAATAAATTAGAAACGTCACTGATTACTCCATTGTCTTCATCAGTACTTTCATCTACAACTTCATCTAAATTCACTCCTACTAATCGGATGGCGTTGTTGGAATATAAATCAAAGTTCGTTGATGTTATAGCAACATCAGAAACTCTCCTATTCACAACAACTAGAGAATGCGGATTATCCATTGCTATATTCTTCAATGTTATGCACAATGGATATTTAGTAAAGAAATCCAAATTAACTTTCTTTTGATCTAAGAAAACACGCACACCAACATCATTGTGTATTCTAACAAGTGGGCATCAATCATTTACTAAATATTTTATCTCTAAATCATTTATATTAGTATCTATCATAAGATGTGATGTTATCACGCTTACTAGACTACTATAAAGACTAGATATAAAACCCCTTCCATTTGAAAATCCACATAATGCCCTGTTTCATTAAAAAAAGAGGTATCAGATTATAAACAAACAATTCGAAATATAAATATCATTCAAACAGACAGAATATTACAAAACAATTTTTATATTTAATTAACCAAACAATTCTTACAAATATCATTCAAATAGTACATTCCAAGAACTTTCATACTACTATAATACATAAATCATACAACAAATACTTATTTAATAACAAAAAACTTTATACACAAATGTCTACATAAAATTTCACCATCAATACAACATTAAAAAAACTTTTCATACATTTCATCAGACACGACTACAAACGAAATTCATACTTTCTTAATATACATTTCATACACATGTCGCAAAGACAGCTTATATCATACCAACATTCAAACACACGTAATACACATTTCATACGACAATTACTCACTCATTACAAATACATTTTTTTAATCGTACCAGATAATTAATTTCTAACTCACTAATTTCTTCAGCGATGACAACATCTAATATGATCCAG